CGCTCTTCTGGACAGAGATCTCCGATGTTATTCCCGGGATCTGCTGGAGCCACTCGCCTAGCTTGGGAGTCACCGCACCTAGTGCTCCGATTACCACGGGGACCACCGTTACCTTCACCCTCCACATCCTCTCGAGCTCTTCTCTGAGCCCTTGGTATTTCTCCAGCTTCTCGTGTTCCTTCTTCCTGATATTGCTGTCATTCGGAACCGCTACATCGATCACTACGGCCGTCTTCTTCTGTTTGTCTACCACCACTATGTCCGGTTGGTTAGCCACCACCATTTTGTCCGTCTGTATCTGGAAGTCCCACAGGATCTTAGCTCGGTCATTCTCCACCACCCTTGGGGGCATCTCCCATTTTGACCTCGGGACTTCCAGGTTATACTCGGCACAGATGTTCCTGTACACTATGCTGGCCACTTGGTTATGGCGTTCCATGTATGCCTTGCCTGCTAGCATCTTGCACCCTGCTGTTATGTGCTGGATTGTCTCTGGGGCATCTTTACACAGCCTGCACCTGGGGTCTTGCCTGGTGTGATAGACCCCAGCCTCTATGGATCTTGTGCTCAGAGCTTGTTCTTGTGCTGCCATGATTAGTGCCTCTGTGCCGTCTTTCAGCCCAGCTTTGTCCAGCCACTGGTAGGATTTCTGGATATCAGCCACCTCCTCTATCTGCCGGTGGTACATACCGTGCAGGGGCCTGTCCTTCCATGATGGTTCCTCGTCTCCCTCCTCTTTCTTGGGTTTCTGCTGCCTGAGGTATTCACTGAGCACTCGGTCAGTTGGGGCCATCTTCCCAATGTATTCTTGGATGTTCGTTGTCTCATCCTGGACTGTGGTGCTGACACTCACCAGTCCCCGGCCCCCTTCCTTCCGCTTAGCGTACAGCCTCAGGGTGCTGGACTTGGGGTGAAACCCTCCATGCATGGTAAGGAGCTTTCTTGTCTTTATGTCAGTGGCTTCTATCTCCTCCTTTGGCCAGCCTATTACCCCAGCAGGGTACCTGATCACGGGTAGGGCGTACGTGTTGATGGCCCGGATCTTGTTCTTACCATTCAGCTGACTCCTCAGGACTTGCCTGACCCTCTGCAGGTACTTGGTGGTTGCAGCTTTTCTAGCGGCCTCTTCATGGTTCCCATTCGCCTGCGGGATCCCCAAGTACTTGTAACTGTCCTCTATGTCTGCAATGTTGCCTTCTGGTAGTTCAATCCCCTCAGTTCTGACTACCTTCCCTCTCTTTGTTACCATCCGGCTACACTTCTCCAGTCCGAACGACATTCCAATGTCATTGCTGTATAGCCTGGTAGTGTGGATCAGTGAATCGATGTCTCGTTCACTCTTGGCATACAGCTTGATGTCATCCATGTACAGGAGGTGGCTGACAACTGCTCCGCTCCGTAGTCGGTATCCGTAGCCAGTCTTGTTAATGATCTCACTGAGGGGGTTCAGGCCTATGCAGAACAGCAGTGGGGACAGAGCATCTCCTTGGTAGATCCCGCACTTGATGGTGACTTGTGCTATGGGCTTGGAGTTGGCCTCTAGTGTTGTACGCCACATCCCCATTGAGTTCCTGATGAAGGCTCTTAGGGTCCCATTGATCTTGTACAATTCTAGGCATTCCAGTATCCAGCTGTGGGGCATTGAGTCATAGGCCTTCTTGTAATCAATCCAGGCAGTGCACAGGTTGGTCAGTCTGGTCTTGCAGTCTCGGCTGATTGTTCTGTCTACCAGTAGCTGGTGTTTTGCGCCTCTGGTATTCTTGCCAATTCCTTTCTGTGTCCCGCTCATGTATTGACCCATGTGCCTGTTCATCTTAGCCGATATGATGCCTGACAGGAGCTTCCATGTAGTACTGAGGCAGGTTATTGGTCGGTAGTTGGAGGGGACCGGTCCCTTCTTGGGGTCCTTGGGGATCAGGACCGTCCGGCCTTCAGTTAGCCATTCCGGGTGTCTCTCGTTAACTAGCAGCTGGTTCATTTGTGCTGCCAGACGCTCGTGGAGTGCAGTCAGCTTCTTCAGCCAGTAGGCGTGAACCATGTTGGGCCCTGGTGCTGTCCAACTCTTCATACTGGAGACCCTTTCTTGGATATCTGCCACTGTGATGGTTACTGGACCCTGTTCAGGGAGGTCGCTGTGGTCTGCCCTCAGATCCTCTAGCCACTGAGCATTGCCGTTATGGGTTGCATCCATATGCTCTTCCAGTATTGCTCCGTCTCCAGCCTTGGTGGTGCTGTTCTCTTATTGTTCCCTTGCCACTGAGAGTACACCTTTGCTGGTTCTGTGGAGAACAGCTGGTTTATTCTCCTGCCTTCTATCTCTCTGGTGTACCTCCTCAAGCGGCTGGCCAAGGCTGTGAGTCTTTGCTTGGCAGTTTCCAAGGCCTGCTTGCTGTATTTCTTAGGCACCTTATTTGTCGCACCTTTCTGCAACTCCGTTAGTTGGCTAACCTCCCTCCGTGCTACTTTGATCTTGCCCTCTAGCCTCCTTCTCCATGGAGGGTACTGCCCCTTGTCGCTGTTCAACTTGTAGCCAAGCATCTCACTGATCACTGCTGCCGTATTGTAGATCAGCTTGTTAGTGTCGGTAATCGTGGTTGTAGGTATTGCCCCTACATTAACATCATCTAGCAGACCTTCTGAGGGTACTTCACGTAATCTTGGTAACCGGCTACGGGGGATCCAGGTTTCAAGCTTGGCCATGATCCTATTTTTCAGGTCAGTTCCTCTCGCACTCAACGATCCTTCTCCTATCGCACTTGGGGCTATGTACCCAATCTCGGGTGGGGGTGATGATATCGCCCCCCTGACCTGGCGTCCTGACTCCTCCTTGCCGTAGCATTTGTGTTGTACCTCGTCAATCTCTAGCTGTGAGAGCAGTCCCTTCTTTCGAATGTTGGAACACTGAGCTACTAGTTGTTTCGCCGTCATTGTGGATGTTGGGTATCGAAGAATCCATAGGTCCCTCATCCTATTCATGTAGCCCCTTCCGCCGGGGTTACTTGCGTAGTAGCATTCCAACAACGCCCTGTTTTCGTCTCTTGCCCACCGATGCCTTCTTGAATCTTGAATCCCATGTGGTGGACTTCAGTAGGGTATTCCCCCCCCCAGATAAATCCATATTCAGCTTAGATAAACAGAAATTTTAATTTCATTTTTCATGTTCAGCAGAGTTGGGGAAAGAAAAAAAAAAAATCAGCTCTGACATACTGTTACAAACTTACAGTGGTTCATTCCACCACTGTAACATGTACGAAGTCATTCTTTATGGAAATTAGAAGGGAAAATGTTTTATTTAATCTCTTCTTATCACACATTAAGGCTTTTCCTTTTTACACATTTCAACCACTTTGTTTTTTAATATTATGGTTAATGTTATAATAGCACTGGTGCCTTTGTATCCATGCTGGGTCTGTGGCTATGGGGGATTTTCCCAAAAGTGACAATGTAGTGAGTCTCACTCTAGGGGCACAACAAGAGGGGCAGATCTTGACCACCTTGCCCTGCCCTCTCTCTCTCTCTCACACATTGCTTCCTCCTTAAAAAACCCGCTGGTAAACGCAAAGGGAAACTCCCAACCAAAAAACCTAAAGAATGAATATCTGACAAATAACTAAAACTTTTGCAAACAGCTTTACACCCACAACAGCAACATTTTGCAGAAAAAAAAATGTTGTGCTAAGCAGACTTTGATGAAGAAATTTTGAAACTCTTGTCTCTCCTTGTATCTTTATTTTGAGGGAAATAGGGGCGTTTTTGTGGTTTGCCGACTGCTTGTCCCAAAGGAAAAAAACAAAAAACAAAACACAGCACTCTCAGGTCTGTGTTTAGATCCGTCTCCACATTGGAAACCAGTTCAGTCTTGGGACTTTTTCCCCTCATCATTTGATTGAAAACCAGAGCGCTGGTTTATAGCAACTGGTTCCAGTTTTGTTATGTGCGTGAGCCATTTTATGTAGCGTGTCCTGCATTCCAGCAAGGCAATTTTCAAAACTGCTCTGGTCACCCCCCCCAGCACTGTCTCTTGCTAGGTGGTCCATGAGCCACTCGCTTTTCCTACCTCACGAGTCCTCAGCTGGAAGTTTTTCCCTTCATGGTAACAGTTGTACGTCTTCAGCAGTGACAAGATATCAGACCTGAGCATGAACACACAAAAGGATGAATCAGTTCTAAAAGTGAGAGCACTGATAAAAATTTAATAAATGTGAATTTCTACTGTAACGGAAAAACTGTCCAGTGATGGAGCAAGGAGCACTTACTTTGGTATGAGTTTCTCCTCACTGAGCTTCACGTAGGTCTGATGCGCACTCATTCTGACTAGAGTGCAGCTGTGGCAGAAAAACATCAAACACAAAAATTAAAATATGCATGTGATGCTAATGTACCAATAATTTTGACTGTGAGAGTCTGTGTGGATTTAAGCAGTGAACAGAAACACAGAAATACAGTTAAAGCATATAATAAGAATAGTGCAACTTAGTGTTATTTGCTGTCATACTTTTTCCAAAGTTGGAGATCTTTGGGATGTTTTTTCCTCTTATAATGAAAAGGATTTAAAATATTTGCTCCAGTGTTAAGGGCAAGGACAGTGGTTTAGGAGAAATCACATGACATTGGCATGCAGCCATCATGTTGTATCATGTTGCAATAGAGCAGCGCAAATGGCAGAAAATAACATCTTAATCTAATTAAGGGGTTAATGGCCGCTTCAGTGGGCATCTTATGTGTAATTATAAGTAAAACAAGCAGACAAGAAAAAAAGACAGCAATCGCTGCATCATTTATGTCTGTGTCACTTGTGTCGTCTTCTTTTTTGTTTCAGAATCTAGTGGACAGCACAAAACAAAAGGGAAACCTATTAATCAATGGGTGCTTTTTTTCTGGCAAAAGCAGGAGAGATGTCCCTGATCCTTGCCCAGATTCCTGTATCCTGATACTGTGGATGGACGGTGGTACAGGGAAATTCCTCGCTGGGAAAACACACCACGTGGGGGAGGAGCATGAGTATAAAGCAGCCAACATGTGGTTCTGGGCTCAGTGTCAACGTCCTTCAGCATGAAGCTTAATCCTCAGTCCGTCTGTGCGTTCGCTATCCTTAGCCTTTGCTGTGTACTTATCACAGGTAAGAGTCTTTTCACTTATCCATGCTTACAACTAAAACTCACTCTTTTTCAGGGTTTTCAGTGACTTAACCTGTGCTGTTGGTTGGACTGAGCTGACTTTTGATCTTATTACAATTTCTGTGCAGTGAGAGAGTCAAGCAGCACATTTATCCCGGGGAGATGTGTTTGTCCAAAAACACAACAGGGTGTCAGAGGTCAACTGAAGGCACTCAAAGTGTTACTACCAAGCTCCACTTGTCACAACGTCACAGTCATGTGAGTACCAGATACTGCAGACACACTTTCACCTCTTCAGACCTGTGTGCACTGAGGTGATTGTAAACTAAAAGTGTTGTTTCGTGCGTTTTTCAGAGTCACCCTGCAAAGAAACAATAAATCACTGTGCCTGATTCGCTGCTGCGGCTTAGGTGAGATTTATCTGTTTGTCACTGGTCAGTAAACTAATGAACACATAGGGGATACACCAGTCTTCAAAGTTCCTGTAGATTGCAACCAACAGTGTCTTATAAGTTGCCCAGCCGGTTTTTGTAACAAAGCACTGTACTGCTACTTAATCTTTCCTACTGCTTTGCTGCTTGAGAATCAGTAACAAATTTCAGTTTCAGGTGAATTTATTGCACAACAAATGAATACAAATTTCTATCAGAAGAAGAAAAAGGGTCTGATATTAAGTACTGATACTTAATGCTGGATTTTCTAAGCTCATCTTTTTCTTAACTGTGCTCCTTTATGTTTTTCCCCCTCCAGAGTTCAGCAGTTGGGTCGTGATGCAAAACTGTGTCTACAAAGGAAGAAAAGGAGAGGGGGCCAACGCCAGCAGACTCGACAGAGGAGAAAAGGCCAAAACAGGAAAGTCTCATCCTGAGACTCTCAGTAGCTAGTCAGACTAAGGAAGGAAAAAAATGACACCAAGTATGTACAGAGGAGAAGTGTGCGCAGGGGAGAAACTACTGTAAGGCCACTTGTGTCTTTTCTCTCTCTTTATGTCATTGCAGACATTAAGCTTCTTTAAATTGTCTAAGCTCTACATCAAAGTCTCCTTATTATTTCATTCTTAATGACTATGTATTGAAGATGTATTGAAGCAAAGCCCTGGAGGCTCATAAATGAAAAAACAAGTCCATGGTTCTGTATATGCAGCTGGGAAGACCAACTTGAGATTTTGTGGTTTATATTTATATGACTGCTTGATGTTTTATACTTTATTTTAAATAAACATATCTGAACAATTCTGTGACTGTGTTATTTTGGCTTAAGCCTTTGATATTCTTAATAATTGAAGGAAAGGAAAGGGATTTTATTCCTTGGCAGGATATGCGAGGTCACCGAGCAGACAGCCTCAGCTTAAGCTAATAAACTAAAGGATTCAAGTCAGCTGCAGGAATAAAGCAAATTGTTTTCACTTAAACTTTGTATTGGTATCCTAAATTTATAACCTATAACTAACCACGTGTTGTTTTTATAATCTGGATGCATGACATCCTTTTCCATGGCTCTTACCTGAGAGAATCCCTAACGTAAAAGCAATGGAGAAACTGATCACCATTACGGTGCATAGTGGTTATTGTGTATGCTGAATTTTATGACTACAATGGTTGGTGGTGTTGCACAATAGATGCGGAAACATCTAGGTGATCAGGGTGTGGATTTTGTAATGTTTTATGATAGCTAGTTAAGCTCAAAATCCATTTGAGATTTCGTGTAAATCATGTGACACCCTACTGGAGTCAAAGCAGAATATACAGACACAGAGAGAAACTTCAGCAATAAATACTTTTTCTTGCACAGTATGAGCTGAATAAGTGAAGCATGCACTGACCTGTACCATTTCCCCCTCCCAGTGTTTAAAGAAGAAAAAAAAAAGTAGAAGTATGTGAGCTAATATGGAAAGTGAAAGTCCTCAATAACAGCACCTTTGTCAAAGGACAGGAGTTAATTTTAGGGACTTTTCTTATCTGTTGTGGGAAAGTGGCGGTTCCTTTGGAACCAGGTATTTATTAGGTATGACAGGATTCTTGTAGATGATGCAACAGGATAACAGTATTGGTAGAGAGCTATAGAAGTACTCAGTACGTTTATAGTTTAATTATCTTTACCATATCACATGCACTAAAATACACTAAAGGGTTTTTATGAGAGGCAAGTAAAGGCCAAGGTGTAAAGTAATATCTACATTTCACCAACAGCTAATGAAGAGGAAAGAAGTACAACACTAGGAAAAGGGAAAACAAAAAAATATAGTGATTGAAAAAACACGACTAAAAATGAATTGTTATTCTAAACTTCAATGCTAACTACTTAAAAAAGAAAAATCTTGATAGTAATCTTGGCCCTTTATACAAACCGCTTAACACATTTAAGGCTTGTGGTTTTTTTCCCCTCACCTGATAACATACTACATTTATCTGATCATAAGATTATATTATAATTAAAGTGAAAAAAACATGTCTTGTCTTCACCAAGAACATGTTTATGCAACACACAGATTAGTCACCTATGACGTAGATGATGCTATGGTGCCATCTAGTGGCTATTGCAAGATAGAACTTATGAAATCTTAAAGCAGTGTGGTTCCCGCTTAATGTGCCACACTCAATTTATTATGTACACCTGCCCCACAGTTCTTTATGCAAATAATCATATACCAGCAACTAAATACATTTAAGCATATAGATATGGTCAAGGTGACCTAGTGAAGCTCAAAGCTTTAAATGTACTTTAAATGTTGCATGGTTGTTGGCGCCAGACAGACATTGGGGTTTACAGAGAATTATCTGAAAGGGAGAGAAGTAGCATTTCTCTGGGGAAAATGTCTTGCTGATGCAAGAGATCAGAGGAGTATGACCAGACTGCTTTTAGTTGATAGGAAGTAACTTAAATAACAGCTTATTAAAAAGAAGGTATATTGGTACCTTAAAACAGATGGGATCCAGTAGCAGATACCAGAGTGGGTTCAGCCAAGGATAGAAAACTAAGGCTACAATTCACACAGGCTGATCAAAACTGGAAAATAGAAGATTAGAAAAATGTCACCTGGTCTGATGACCCTCTATCTCTGCTGCAAAATTCAGAGGGTTTGCGCAAACGACATTTAAGCATGGATCCAACCTGCCTTGTATCAGCGGTTCAGTCTGGTGGTAGTGGCTGCTTCCAGCAGGATAACACACCGTGTCACAAAACTCCAATTTTTTTCAAACTGGCCTCTTGAACACAGGAGTGACTTCACTGTACTCAAATGGCCTCCACAGATCTTAATCCAATAGAGCACCCTTGGAATGTGGTAGAATGGGAGATTTTCATCATGATGTGGTGCTGCAGCAACTTTGTGATGTTATCCTGTTAACATGGACCAAAATCTCTGAGGAATGTTTCCAGCATATTTTTGAATCTATGGCACGAAGAATTAATGAAGTTCTGAAGGCAAAAGGATGTCCAACACAGCACTAGGAAGGAGATAAAGTGAGTACTCAAGTATATACTCACTCACCACTAATCTCTGAGTATAAATATCTATAATGAGCCAACCTTTATTTACAGGGACTGCAGTCTCTTTCACACCAGCAGGAGACAAAGGCAGCTTTGTGTGCAGCATTAGTGCAGATTTTACTTTAAAAACAAAAAAACACAAATGTCTGAGCTATTTTTTGGTCTCAGTACTTCCTGAGATTTTATCACATGACAAAAAAAGGGAAGTTAATCAGTTAAAGTAATGCTGTGTGACTTATTTATAATAAATACTGTTCCACTTTGATACACTTCATTTCAATCTGGAACTGGCCCATTCATGATGACTTTAATATGAGTCATTAAATCTTTTATTCTCAGAATCAAGGGAGGCAGATCTTTCTGAAAAAAAACCTCAGTCATACAGGAAATGATTTTTTTCTAGATCTTTAAGCAAAAACAGAACTTTGTCCGGTAGAGGAGGAAAAAAAACAGAAGAAAAAATGCTTGCATGAGCAGTGTTAGCCACCACAGAAATCAGGAAACAGACTGCCCCATACTGTCTGACTGGGAAGTGATCTCTGGGAGGTGATTCAACCAAATAATAGGAATAAAAAAAACTAAACAAAATAGAGAGAAGTTAAAGATATAACCTTAACAAAATCCTCCTGGTTTGGGTTTAAAGAATCGACAATTAAGTCCACATTTATTTCATGCATTACTGAGGCAACAACACCTGTCCTACCTCCCCCTTTAATGACCTCTGCCCATCGCCAGCTTCAGCTAAGCAATGTGCTGACAAAGTATGTGCATACAGAGATGGTCAGTCTACCTCTCATACATATTTATACACAATAATGGGTTTATAACTTAAAGGATTCCAGTCTGTCACCATTATTATGAATTATTCAACAATCACAAATGGCTATACGGTAGATGGGCCAAACGCTGTGCGATGAAAATTCATTTTATTTGGCTGGGCTCGGGTTTCGGTGAATTTACGTCGTCTGCGTTTTCTCAGCTTTTCTCTCCTATTCATGCATCATCTTTGTGTGCAAGCTTCCTCGGTGGACAAAGAGCTTTCATTGCAGGTCTGCTAATTGGTTTGATCATCGCGAGATTCGTATCCAATTATCACACCTACACCGGCAGCTGCGCCCGAAGACAATTCAGTCCCACGCGTAAAATGACACGGAGAGCTCCAAATAAAGCACTCAATGAATGAGTTTCCGAAACATATCTCAACAAAAAAAAGTATAAATTTAAAATGCTAATGAGGCAGATAACACTGATCGGCAAATCACGGCTGACTTAGAGCTTTAACGATAACGAACGCGGTTTCTAACAGCAAATAGTAGATCACATGAAGGCTAACGGAAAGTTTCTTATACTAGTCAATACTCCCAAAAGCAAAAGACAAAACAAAGCGTAATTTAACCTGCATCCAACTTCTGAGAATCTCTTCTTATCAGACTATTTTTATTTGTTCCGGGCTTTTATTGCAGGATGAAAGTTATTGTGCCTTCTTTAAACGTAACTAAACATAAACTGAATCATTTTGAGCCTTACCATAACAGAGTGCGTCCCCGTTTTCTTCCGTATCACCAGCGTTATATGCCTCTTTTCGTTATCAGTTTTCATGCCTCCTTGGCAGTGCGGTATTCTGAGCCGAGAGATAAAGGTGACATCCTGAATATCCAATAGCAGCCCGCGTTGATACACCGCAGCCAACCACACTCGAGCATAGGCGGGCTGAAACAGGGCTGCATACCTCTCCCTTCTTGATCAAGGTGGCTCTGGGGCTTTGCTTTAATCCTATCAGCCAGAAGTGTTTTAAATTGTGGTCTTCGCCACACTAAGGGTGTTAAGACTCAGCTCTAAGACTATAAAGGTTTAATTTAGAGTTTTGATTGAAAGTTATATGGGTTAAGTGAGATTTGTATAAAAAATACATGTTATCCATGCCGCATATTTTGGTTTCTATTGAACTGTTGAACACAATTGACACTCTAAATGATAAATAATGTATTCGTAGAGTATTCTTGTTGCTGGATGTTTGTTTTCCATATGGGTAACAAAATGTAGTTTTGGTTTATTTGCTGTCGAGGGTGAATTTTAACTTCAATATCCACTTCTGAGATATATTCTTTAAATTCTTTCTGCTGTTACATATTTAGTGACAGGAAAAATCTAATTGGTTTACCAACACCACCAACAACGACCCACTCTGCTGTATTTTTCCAGCTAGGGGAAGAAGTTCCTGTGACCTGTTAAGATTTTTTTCACCCATCCTGTTTTTGAGCCTGGATCTGCCATCTAGGAAACTATTGCAGGGTGGAAACACAAACTGTAGGAAGTGCTTCTCTCTCTGTGTCTGAATAGGATTCATGATTTATGCACAGAGGAAGTAAGTTGTTCCAGCAGCTGAACGACTTCCCTCATTCTGACGGATGTGGACATGACAAAGCTGCCGGAGCGCTTATAGAAGAGGGCGAGAAATAGTGCCGTTCTTTTCCTCCCGTCTGTTTATAGGTCAGTCAGCTGCTAATTGAACAAAGATCATTGTGAAGATAATAATAAAGCTCAGGTTATGGGCCAGTGAGCAGCCTCAGCAAAATCCAGACAAAGACTCTTTGTTGTTCTTTCCACAACACAGGCGAAGGTCTCGTCCCTCTGGAGAGGATACACATGTCATGACATAAAAACATATCGACGCTATTTATGACACCAGGTGATACCATGCTGGGTTGTGTAACTTTGTGAGAAATATGTGGAATAACCCTGTTGTTTAACCTTCAGGTTGTTCATGCTATCTGGCCTCAGTTCTCGCTGAGGTGCCTTCTGATGAATAGGGCTCTCTGTTTACATCGATTCTCTCCTTAGCTGTGATGCCACAGAGAGGTTTCCTCTAAGGGCTACATACAGTTATATATTTATTGTTCAGTGAACAAAAGACTGAGGAATACCCTGTGTGTGTGGAGTGTGTGTGTTTTGACAGAACAAGACAATATTGATTTATGACCTGAACAAAAGAGGAATGCCCATGTAGAGTCTCACATCCTTTGTAGCTCAATAAAATAAAAAGGAAAACAATAGAAACATCAATACAGGCTTTTTTCTATTCACTTTTGAATCATAATTATAGTAAAAATAAGTGCAATTCAAACTGCCTGATTCACTCTTAGTGCTCACCATATGACCCTTTATCGATAAATAATTTACTGTGTTTGGCTAGACGTGTTTTGGGTGAAGCCTGTAGCCGTGCTTTCGGTGAACGATCTGATGTTTCTTTCATCACCATATTAACATGAACACTCCTCCCAGAGCTCTGTCTCCATGGTCACCGCTCGCACACGACAAACACACAATGAGGGCCGACGCATGCACCTGCACAAGCTCCACTGCCTGCTATACTCTCTGTCACATTTGCACATGTTTTCTCTGAATGAGTGAAACAGTTGATCTAATTTATGACCTTATGAATAATGTATGTGGCAGTAACTGGATGGGATTGCTGGGCATTAATGTCTGCTCTTCATTCAGTGCTGTCTTTGACAAAAGCAACAACAACAAAAAAATAAAAAAAACAGGCCTTAATCCACCCACATGCACATGTTGGTACAAATGGTTTCATTTATTTGAGTGCATGCATTTGAAACTCCAACTTTTAAATTTGTACAAGACTCCAAAAATATACAAATCAGTCAAATATTTCATAAAAATCAATTTTTTTATAGCTTAATCACATAAAATAAACCTTATTGTGGAAGACATTGGTGCTTTCTACAAAAAGTTGGTTCAAGACCAGCTGGTTGTACAGAGTATGCGTGAATGCATTATTCTTTATACATCATTTCCATTGTGTGTTATCAGTAAGCACAGCGACATTCAGTCAGTAATCATAGGTGCAGTGTCTGAGGTGGTGTCTGGCTCACAGTATCCATCCATCTCTTCCATCTCCCTCTCCACAGGCTCCTCCCCACTTCTAAAGCATAATAGTCTCTTCTCTTTCCACCTCCTCCTCCTTTCCCCATCTGTGTCTTTAGGTGCTGTTGTCTGCTCCAGCTCCAGCATAGCCTGGATGTTGTCTCCTCTCTCTCCGGTGCTGAGGCAGTTGTCTCTGCTTGTTGGTGCCAGCCCCTGCCCTCTCCTGCCTGTCACCATATGGAAGAATGAGAAGGTGCCGTCTGAGCCCGTGCTTTCTGTCACAAAGACAGCAGTTGGGCCTTGGTTGCTGAAGCTCTCCTGCGGGCTTTTGGGAGGTTTGGTCTTTGTTTTCTTGCTCAGTATGAAGTTGAAAAAGGCTGTCACCAGAAGCATTGTTCCTGAAGTTAGAATAATAATGTCACCATTAATTTCTATGCTACATCTATGCTTTTTATGCTTTTCCATGATAGGAGCATCTGCTGCTGAAATGCCACAGCAACAGGAAACAGTCATGTGAAGTATTGAACTTGCTGGTGTTGTTTTACCTGGGATGATTGCATGCCACACCAGCACAGGGTGCAGGAAACAGACCACTGACATGATGGAGTAGTATAGGAACTTATGAAAGCCTCCAATGCGAGCCATCTTCCCCCACAGTAAAAACAACTTCCAGTCTGGAGGGCAGCTGTAGAGATATCAGGCAAGAAGGCAAGAAAAAAGTCAGGATTACTTTACATTATTACAGTTTAGACTGCAGTTTAGACTGCAAAGTTCAAAGTTTGAAAACCTCAAAGAATTGTGAGTTATCTTTGCTACAGTAGCCATGAGGGTTGTGTACTCACGGCAGACACATGGACAGGAGAGAATCCAGGAAATAGGCTAGTTCAAGAATCATGATCCCAATAAATGAGACTCTGGGGGAAGAAATTGGACAATGATGATATACTCAGTAATTTCTACACTAAAAAAAAGCAGCTGCAAGTGCTCAAGATATTACCCTACATATGGTAAAGAAAACGTTTGTGACAACTGCAATTTTCTTGTATTTAGTTTACAATTATCTAATCCAGCAATAGAGAAAAATGCACCCAGACTAACCAGTATTACAAACTAACCTCTTTTAAGTGTAATTGGTGTGTTGTGTGTTACTGTGTGTGAGGACAGCATCCATCTGCACTAACTTTATGTGTAGTGATTGAATAAACAGTCATTCGTTTCTAGTGTCCTTGGAGAGATGTTTTCCGTTGTCTCTGTGGGAATTTGTCTCTGTACTACAGAGATAATAATAAGAATCAGAAGATGTCCTCTGTTCTGCCCTCTGCACCCTGCTTCAACTTTCTGAGTCCTTCCCAACAGCTCCTCTCAAGTGTGTTTATTTATCAGAGACTATAAAAGCATGTGCAGTGTTTTTCTAAACCATCTTCTTAAAGCCCTTGGGTCTTTAGCTTTGCCAGCTTTCAAAACCAGGCTGTGTATTTGTAACTCAAGAATGCCACCAGAGTCAGGAGTGCTTGTAAATCCCATCAGTAAGTCAAGAAGTAGACTCAAAAAGTAAGCGCTTACATTAGATAGATGCCAAGGCTGTTGAATTCTCCCTGATGTAGTGTTTCCACTCCCACAGCACACAACACTGAAAAAGACACGGGACAATAATTCAGCTTAATTCATGGATTTGTTGGTGAACAGATTCTGTCCACCAGATGTCAGAGTAAGTTCATGAATTTTTCTGTGCTGGATGCTGGAATGCAGCCCAAGGTAACCTTCTGTAAATGCTCTCAGTACTTTCACTGGGATTAAACACTCTTGTGTGGCGTTTTCAGTGTTCTTTGGATTTATTTTTTTTACCATGTCTTTCATATTTTGCTTTAAAAGTTGTCTCTATAGTGTTCTGTCAGCCACAGTAATTTAAAGCCGACTGAATGTTTTCCTCAAGAAAAGGGCAACTGTCTGTAGCACAAGGAATGCAACTTAAAGTCACATTTACATACCACAGGAATGGTGGTACTGACCTAGTGATGTACATTAAAGGTATTTAAAGATGCTTAATTTAAGCAATTATTGCAATTGTTCCTGTCATGGTCATGAAACTTTGGTAATAACTTACTCATGCTTGCAATTGCCATACCAATGTCAGTAGGTAATTTTACTTGAGTGAACATATCACACAGTCACAGTCATGGCTAATGCCATAAAACGCCATCAATCCATGAGATCTATGCTTTAGCATCAAGATAGTAAATCTCTTCAGCAGATAATGCTAACTGTGACTTAACTACACTTCTATATGGTAAATGTCAAACTAATGCCAGCAGTTGGTTAGTTTAGCAAAAATGCTGGAAGCATGGGTAAACAGCTGGCTTGACTCTGTCCAGATGTAACACAATCCACCAACCAGCACCATTCAGTGTTCCTTTAACAGGAAGTTCTCCCAAGCTGTGTGCTGACAACAATAAAATACCTTTCTTGCTACATGAAAGGGCACTACTGTCCTGGTGTGACACAAGATAAGAAATGACATGACAGCAACATTTTTAAAATTTTAAACAAAAGTGCATTTTATTAACCAGTCATCCTCTTGTGAGATAAGCCCGGTTAAATGGGGATTGCTGCCAAACACATGGAAGCACTTTCTCTGGCCTGCTTACCAGAAATCAAGAGATTCAGTGATACAATCTGAAGCAGAGGGAAACTCGGGTAATGTGGCTAAATGGTTTCTAGTAGTTTGGAGAGTATGCAAGGATTTAAAGCTGCATATAGAGCAGCTGGATATTAACAGAGCTGCTCCCTGCATGTACTGGGAGCATGTGGAACACACACAGACTGTCTATCTTGCGTGCTGCACAATATCGTTTATTATTTAGTAACTATTGATATCTATGACTAGCTAGTTTATTGTGATGGTGCTTTTTTTTTTTATTATCATTATGTTGCTCTTTGTTGTTTGCTGTCTCCCCTGTTTTTTTTGTTTTTCTTTCTCTCCATACAGGTGACCCAGGAGTTTTTTTTTTTTTTTTTTTTTTTTTTCTCTCTTCCCCCCCTTCTCACCGTCTCTTCTCCCCTTTGTTTTTCTTTCTTCCTCTCCCCCTCTTTCTTTCATTCTTTCCCCCTGTCCTATTAAAAAAAAAAAAAAAAAAAGGATGACAAAGGATGAACTGAAGCTCCGCCATCACGTGATGTCACATGCTGCTGTTTCTGATGTCACTTCCAAAAAAAAAAAAAAAAAAAAAAAAGGAACACACACAGACACCAACAGGCCAACCCAGACATGTGAACTCACAGCAGACTGCCAGCCAGAGGCACACACACATAGACATTTACCAAAAGTAGACTGATACACACACGCACACATAAAAATAATGCACAGAAAGCTCATGTAGGCGCGAATGCACAACAGCTTGTGATCACATAATCCCAATAACCCAGCTGGACACAGAGACTGTTTGTGTCATTTGTGGCACATGCTTCTCAATAAATATTCAGTGTCTGCAGATGTTTGAATTTAAGTGTGTGTGTGTGGGGGGGGGGTCCCATATTTTTCTGAAGGAAGCAACAAGCAAACAGCTTTTATGATGATTTACTGAGGCAAAGAGAGCTTTGTACAATCTGTCCCTGTGTGTCTGAGGAAAACAGAAAAGGAGGGACAATAACGTAAATCAAGTATATGCTCTATATATCAGCCAAGACAGGGTTTAGTGCTCTTGGAGAACAAGACTATGTCACAGTCTGACCTTTTAACATTGTTTTTAAAGACATGATGGGTGCCTCTTCCCCTGACGAGATGTTTTAAGATTTTTTGAAAGATCTATAGGTGCACCCAAAGAATCTGGCTCATACTAAAACGAGAAGAGACACACATGACGCTAAATGAAATCTTTTGCTTTTCTCTGCTTCTTTTCATATTTATGTCTTACCTGTGGATGTAGAAATGCCAAGGAGCCTGCAGGTGCACTCGACTACAATCCACCATATTCTCTCTAAGCTCCCCATGACCTCAAAAATTTCACCTTTGTAAAATATATATATTTTTTCCCAGTGCCTGATCGTTATAAAAGTAGCATTCTAGATGCGTAGTTGAATCCTGGCTAGATGAACAGATGGTAGAAAAGCTAAAACAGAGCAATGCAGCACTTCCATGATGTGGAGCCTGTTACCTCATGAAGGTTTGTGACTGAATGCCCCTGTTGCTGCAGTAACTGCTAATCACACACACACACACACACACACACACACACACACACACACACACACACACACGTCAAGGAGAAATTATTGAGCTCAAGGTAACTTGCTGACCATTTTACATTTGTCATTAAAGCTGGTTAAAAATTAAATCCATTAAAAACCCATCTAGTACCTGATCCAAAGGTATTTATTTTATAAGCTGGAATGCAGAGAAGATCACTGACCTTGCTTTTCACCCAAATAATTTCTTCTCCTCTCTTTATAACATGTTTTCTTTCATCTGATTTCACCTTATTGTGAGGTTGTTGGTGATTCAGTGCAACCAAACCATCTGAAAGACTTCAAACAAACACCATCTTTTTTTCAAACCCACACTTCAACATACAGCCATCATTTTGGCACCCACTGATCCCAACTTTGTCTCAGCAGAGTGAGCACTGATGAAATATACAGCGGCTTGCGTCAGTAAAGAAAAGGACATTTTTTATGGGTTTGCACGTATTATAAACAAACTGCACTTAGTATGCAGTGCAGTGCATGCCCGATTGGCTCGCTGCACTTAGTGAAGAGTGGCTACAATGGTATAAAAACAAACATACCTTTTGACATACATTCAAATGTAGCTCACATAATCAGGTGACGCAGGTTTCAATGAGGTGTAAGCTTGTTCAGGCACAGCAGAGGCCTACTGGAACAAGCAAGTCAGATTTGCAGAGTTCACACAGGCATACACTGACTCCTGTCAGGGCCAAAGTAAGCTGCATAAATCTTCTTAATCTACAACAAAGACACTTTTGTGTTTTTGTACCAGTTCAACTTGTTTCCGGATATTTGTGGCATTTATGGTATTGAGTGAGTGTGGATGAACTGTGTGGCAAAAACAACAGATACTAAATGTGTAACAACAAATCCAACTGTATATTTGGTGCCACTTTTTGAAGGGAAGGCAACATCGTTCAGATTGTTCATGTCTTGTGTGACTGAAATGTCTATGATAGTTTTTACAAACACTGGATAAGATCCAGTGATTTTTTCATGTGTGCTACGAACAAAAATTTCATTGACATTTGTTTATATGTCATTGTAACTTTTAGGACACACAGTCATGTCCCCTGTCTGAAGGAAGTACAGCAAGATCCTCGGGCGAGTTTCCCTTTGCCACAAACTTGGATTGTGACCAAACTGTGCAGACGCATAATGATGCATTTTTGCGTGGTACTATAATATAAGGATCCTAACAGGCTAAACTAAGATGGAAAACATAGGAAATAGCAAATATCATAGGTTACCTATGCAACATCAGCATGTCCACATTGTTGATATGAACACATCAGCATGCAATGATGTTCAAAGCACTGCATAGAGTCTCTATAGCTAAAGACAGACAGGTTTTTTTGTATATTCACATTGTATGCAGATCGACTTTAGAAATCCTGCATGAAAGGATCCAAAATGCATTTGATTATTTGAGGTTTTCACTGACCATAACCCTCAGATATGTCATCACCATGAGGTCACCCACTGGTTTGTCTGTTTCTGCTTTGAAACCATGGGTGAAATGATTTGACGGTCACCATCTAATTTTTTCTAAACTGGAAATGAGGAGTGGGAAACTGTGAACACTACAAACTCACAGTAGCAGCTTTCTAGCCTTTTCATTTATTTTGCTCTAAATAAGACCATATTTCACAAAATAGCAATTGTGCGCTGTTAAATAAGACTTGTAAAGAATGACTGAGACTTTAAGCTGACTGGGAAAGTGTTTATTGAGGCAATAAATCACAAGAATGATTAGGTTCTCTTATTGGCTTCTTTTCTTTGCGATTTCATTTTGAAACCAGAGAAGACGCCCCCTGCTGGTCTGGGGGAAAAGCATTTCAGCAGTGACTTCTCTTTTTAGAACGGCCATACTTTACGTAACTCTAAATCGTCTGTGGTCTGGATGCTTCTCCTCTGGGGTCTCTAATACTTTTGGATCACAGAAACCAATTTTGTCCATAGTCTGTGCTATTGTGCGACTGTAGCCAAACACTATGACCTCTCAAATCGGATTTCAAAGTGTCTTTTGTGTCACTCGCATCGGCACGCACAATGACATTAAACAAACACAACAGTTTAACCACACATTTAATGCAATTGTGTTGATGAAAGAAAAAAGGGGGTAGAGAAAATCTTGTTTAAACAACATGCATGTTTAGACTGCAGTGCATTTTTGCACATGAACTACACACGCTTGAGGGAGGAGGAATGTGTGCTGTTAAGTGCCATCATGGCCACAATGGGCAGTGTGTGTATGTTTATTTGACTCTTATGATGACATATAAACAGCCTTATAACTACATAATTTATGGTCATCAGTCACTGTGTAGTGTTTGGGGATCCCTGCAGACATTTACTGTACATCATGAGTTACATGGCAATCATTTGGATATGCCAGAGGGTGGAACAGTTTAAAGAATTGAGTGATCGCCATCTGAGATTGTAAATCTAGTGTTACAGTATAAATACAGTCTCATGGTTTCATTTGGCCCGTGCAGCTATATGGACACATGTCCTCTTTTAACATGGCTCAGTTTGACCAACTGAGCTTCTGTTCAGACTTCACGTTCTCACGTTCTCTCACTCTGTAATCATCTCTGCTTTATGCATCCTCACCATTCTCATCATCTCTGCTTCACACCATTCTCTCCAGCCTATGGCAGTGAGACTTGAGATTAATTGTACCTTTTTTCAACCACATTCCCCCATCTAGCTACTCTCAGTCTGGAATAGTTGTCTGGTGCCTTTCTGAACCAGTGAAAACAGCTCTAATCCTAATTAAACCAGCAACTTTATTGGCCTGTTCTAATGGTTTGCTCAGACAATATCTCCATTATCCACTTTATCTCTGACATGCTATTTTATCCAAAGGTTAAGCTGTGAGGATTGACTGAATTAATTCCACTGTGATACATGATAGAATATGAATATATAAACATAGCTGTATCGAATCTTAGTATTAAACCACACAGAGGGATTAATCTCTGCTTTCATGGATCCTAATGACTTCATTTACAAATGCACGGAGTCCCCTAGTGGTTGAGAGGTACTGGTACACTGCAGCCCTGAATGACCTGTATGGTCATTGTCCATCAGATCCATGAACTGAGGGAGATATTTACATGATGACACTGAGCAGGAAAAAGTCATTTTTAAGCTCTTCTAAAAATACATTTCTAATTATACCTAAAGGTCAACAGCATTAATCAGAAAGATGAAGTACAGACATGGGAAACATCAGAAAAATATGTGGTTGTGAAACAATCAAAAAAATATGGAAAGTTTCGGGAACCGTAAAAGGGTGTTTGCACTTTGATTTGGTCAGATGAACCACTTTTTAAAGAAGGCATTGTAGCGTTTGTGTGCTGTACAGTGCTGCCCACAAAAAAGCTAAATTCTACATCCCGATGGATGAAATTAATTTTAGCTTGAGTCCAATATCGATTGTCATCTTAACTCTTTTTTGGTCTCTCTCCTAGAAAATTTAATTGAAAACAACTGAGAGCAAAAGCATTTCTTACTCAAGCCACATCATACTAGTGGCCTGTATGGTGAGATATGGGCTGAGGTTTCAGTGCTACGAAGGCTCACTTCTTAGTGAGATATATTACAGTTGCTATTTGCGCTACAGCCCTAACCAGCTCAGGGATAGGTTGAGTTTTACATTAGTTATTAGAATGTGTAAAAACACAGCCTATAGACCAACCAACCAGTTATCTGGAAAACAGTGTCCCCTTGCCTAGAAGATCATTAAACTCTCTGATGAGCCACGTGTGGAACTCAGGGCTGCTCTGTATAGGTCTATCATGAGGGAGTCTGTAGTTTTTGGAGAAAGTCTAGCTTTCCCTGATGAGTATCAGTGAGATAAAGATTCTCAAAGACGTGAGCTTTATTCCTGGCTTCATTTATTTCCCCGGCTGGCAAAAACATTTCATCATTCTATCAGCATTTTTCTAGCAGCATTAAAGCTCCAATGTTTGAAGGTAAGCCTGCTTACTGGTTAAAATATTTTTCTTATTTGTGCTTCGTTTGCACAGCATTTGGTCTTACACACCCCATGATAATGGTACATGTAATCTAAGAATTAAGCTAATGTAAATACATGTTTGTAAATGAGATCTACCTTCAGGAGTCACTGATTGATAAGCCCATTAACTTAAACATTTAACATTTCTTTTGCCAACTTTTCTTCTTAGCCTTGGCTGCAGCAGCAGTATTGCTTTCAGCCCCTCATGTATTTTCAAATTCCTCATATTTCTTTCATAGATGCTCTCTTTTGAGAAATATTGTATGTTACTCTAAACTTGTCCATGTTTGGTCCTCTGGTGCCATCTTGTCCCTTTCATGTTATCGAGCTCGGATAGATTCACAAAACCTGCGCTGACTTATGGAGTTCATAACCACGTTTGTGTGATTGATTAGGGTTGATGCTGATATTAGGCTCAGCAAAGCCACATTACTGAAAAAACATCATTGGTATGTTGAACTTGCTTTGTAGTACAAATTCTCACATACCAGTGAATTGTGCATATAGTGAGAGTCCATCGTTGGCTTCTCAGTCTGAGCACAGCTGGATAAATGCGCTGTTACATAAATACTTAACCCCAATCTTTCTCCTTCAAAGCTAATGTTAAGCTAATGTGTTAAGCAGAGGTGTGGACTCGAGTCACATGACTTGGACTCGAGTCAGACTCGAGTCATTAATTTTATGACTTTAGACTTGACTTGAAAAAATGTTCTAAGACTTGTGACTTGACTTGGACTTTTACACCAATGACTTGGGACTTGAATTGGACTTGAACCGGTTTACTTGAAAAGACTTGATATTTTACCCCAAATATAAAATTTAACATGCATATTATATAGAGATTGAAAATGTGACGTCATTCACGGGTAGAACCGCAAAGGATTCTGGGAACTC